ATCCATCAATGGCTATTAGCCAGGATGAGTAGGAATGGCATCCCTAGCCTCTTTTTGCCAGAGGCTGGAAATGGAAGACAGGAGATGGATCGTTTGATTCCCTGTTCTGTTCACTCCCTCCAGGGCATCTGGCACTGGCCACTGTTGGAAGACAAGATACTGGGCTAGACAGACCTTTGGTCTGACCCAGTATGGCCAATCTTATAATTCAGGGGTGGCCAATCCATTTAACAGAAAGAGCCAAAACAGCAGCAGAAAAAATGCGAAGAGCTGCACCAGAATTGTAAAGAAAAGAAAAAAGCCTCCCAGAACAGAATTGTCGAGCAAAAACAAAAACAAAATTTTTAAAGGAGACTGCCCCTTTAAGATGACCACCATCTTGGGCGCTATTTTTAAAACCCCGCAGTTCCAACCCAGTAAGTGCAGGGAAGCCAAGGGAGAGCTGGCGGGGGCCATTCGGGATGGGATGGGGTGTGCGCAGGAGCAGCTTTGTGCAGGTTGGCCATGGCCGTTACAATTGCTAATAGCTCATATCTCCTTAGTCAGCTACTTGAGTATTCCAGGATGCATTTCATCAGGTCTTGATGACCTGAAGACATTCAACTCATAATTTTTAACTTGTTCATTCCCTATTTTAACCTCTGAACTGACCTTTCATTTTCAGTGGCTTCATTAAGTTAGCTGTCTGATTGCAATTAAACTTGTAGTTGAAAACTGAAACAAAAAAAAATCATAAAAACATCAGTCCTGGCTTGCGATGGTCCAAGTCTGACCCCTGCTGTGGCTCTCCGTTTAAAGTGTACTAGGAGCCTGGCAGGCAGACAGCCCAGCTCAGTTCCAGTTTGCCCCAGGTCTGGGAGCTCAGACCACTGCCACCCCACACTGCTGCCTCTATCAGAAGCAACAGCACAAGGTGACAAGCAGCCGGTCTGCAAGGAGAGCTGGTTTTTAAACTGGCTCCTCTCACAGCATGGCATCACACACAGAGGCAGCAGCATGGAGTGTCAGGTGGCTCCTTGGGAGTGAGGTGCACTGGCTGCTGGCTCCACTCCCGGGGACTACAAAATAATCGACTAACCGATAAGAATTCATGAGGTTACTCGACTATTCAATTAACTGATATTTACCATTCCTAGTTTGAACCTATTGTCTCTTATCCTGCCTTCTGTGGCAAGAGAGAAAAACTTTTCTCCATTATTTTTACAGCAGATTTCAAATATTTGAAGACGGCTGCCATGTGCCTCCCTTAAACTCTTTTCCATCTACACTCACCAAGTTCCTTCAACCTATGCTCATGTGGCTTGCATTCCATCCTTTGATCATCTTTGTTGCTTGCCTCTGAATCCTTTCCAATTTCTCTACTTCCTTGCTATACAGCAGGGAACAAATTGGATATAGCACTGCAGCTAAGGCCTAACCAAGCAAATAAATCAGTACTATCTCCTCCAGTAACTTGCATGCCATACTTCTAATGCAGTACAAAACAGCATAGCATGATCCAGCACAGCTCCCAGATCCTTCTTCGCGGTACTGCTGCCAAGCCAGTTATTCCTCAGTCTGTGTTTATGCATTTAGTTTTTTCCCCAAAATGTAGCACCTGTCATTTGCCTTTGTTAACTTCATTTTGTTGTCTATAGCCCAGCTCCCCAAATTATCAAGCTCCCTTGAAATTTTAGCTGTATCCTACAAAGTATTGGCTAGGGATGTCAATGTGTAGACAACTACATGATTAACTGATAAGCCTGAGCGGCTCTTAATATATTTAAAAAGCAGAGATGCAGCATCTGGAACCGGGCACGAGTCAGGAATCAATTGACTGTCCCAGCTCACATATGGTCCCCCACTACACCTCTGCCCCCGCCCTGCCTCCCACAGAGATGGTTCAGGAGAGAAACCAGCTTTTAAGCCATCTCCCCACAGCACCAGCTCCTGCTCCCTCCCCCTCTCTCTCTGATAGAGGCAGAAAGATAATCTCATGTTTATCAGATAGTCAACTAGTCGCTTACATCCCTAGTTACATCCCCAGTTGAGATAAATTTTGTCAACAAAACTTGGTAGCACAGACAAGGCCTGAATGTCCTAATAGGAAATATAATCTGGGCAGAGGAGGAGGAGATTATTTTTCCTTCTAACTCAGCACTACAAGTAAACAGCAGCTGAAACTGCATGTCACAAAAAAAAGCTGAAGTGTAGAAGTGAGCTCACTAAAATCTCAGCTATCTGAGAGACAGAATAAAGATAAGGCAACAAAAGCCCCAGTAAAACAAAGCATTTGCCAAGGCAATGTTAAAATGTGTTAAAAATGACACCCCAATAGACAAAAGTGTTGCCAAAAAAGTGCTGGTGTGAACAGCAACTCAAGCATGAGCATTCTCCTGCCAACAAAGCTAAAGCCCCTAAAGGGGTGGGGGTGGGAGTAGGAGTGTATTTTGTCAACAGCTGACAAACAGCAGCTACACTGCCCAACTTTTTGCAGCATATCTGCACAGCTATACTGCTGGAGCTGTATAGTGTAAACAGAGCCTAAAATACAGCAATGAACAGAACCCAAGCAAAAACTCTCTCTCTTGTGAAAAACACACTAAAAAGTTACAAGGCAATAAATAAAAGCAGTTTTAAAAAAAAACAAAAAAACATTAAACAGACTCTCAAACGTTGATGTTTAGTTGGAAAATTGCAACTTCCTGGGTCAAGCACCACCAATAATCTATAAGGTAACATAGCAAAGAAAAACAATTTTTAGATGATTTTTTTAAAATTTATCAGCTTCATCTTAGGCACATGAATGGCTAAAGGTGAGATTTACAGGTTCTGGTTAGCTCAGATAGAGCAGTGCCAGTCAATTGGGAGGGGCTGGTGCCTCCCACCCACCTCTCCAGTTAATCAATTAAATAGAATTTTACATCCCTAATTCAGCTTAATAGTAAAGCCGCACAAAACTATTTTAAAAAGTAATAATCATAAACTAAGAAGAAAAATGTTTAAAAGAAAATGCAATAAAGGTATAATTAAATGTCCTAGCATCTTAAACGCTTTATAAGCCTTAGTTAAACAATGATGTATGTAAAAGGTACGTAGAACGAGTTGGTTTTGGAAAAAATCCCACTAAAAACTATTTGCCTTAATAGTCAAAAAGTTCAATTCTGTGTTAATTTCAAACGTGTAATTATAAAAATCAAATAAATTAACAAGATTAACAAATACAGGATGCAAGTGATTCATTCCATAAATTGCTTCTGTACATTTAAATGGGACTTTCAGGGTAATTTCTCATTCACAGTTGCATTGCTGACAGACACTTTCTGAGCAGCAGCCCACATTTCCTGGCAGTCTCTTCTAAATTCTTTTCTTCTCTCCCCTCCCGCAAGATAAACATTTAACCTAGCTGAGCTAGGGGCAGCCAGAACCAGAGTCAGGAAGAAATCCTGGAGCCTTTTTCAATAATCACAGAATCTCAGAAGTGTAGGACTGAAAGTGACCTCAACAGGCCATCTCAGCCAGTCTCCTGCACTCAAGTGGGACAACATAATAAGCAGAGTTCCTGGGAAGTATTTGTCATTGGAGGTTTTAAAGAAAAGATTCAACAAAGATTCCATAACCTTCTTAGGTAATCTGTTCCAGTGTTAACTATCCTGACAGGTAGTTCCCTAATGTCTAGCCTAAATTTCCCTTGCTGCGGTTTTAGTCCATTGCTTCATGCCCTATTCTCAGAGGTTAACAAGACAATTTTTCATTCTCCTCCTTGTAGGAATATTTCATGTACTTGAAAACTGTTGTCACTCCAGAAGGTCCTCTCTTCTCCAGACTAAAAGCCGTTTTTCCTCACAGGACATGTTTTTAGATCTTTAATGCACAAGCAAGCAAAAGAGCTGTGGGAAGGGACTGAAAAGTTGAAGGGATCATGTATTTCTGGAGTGATACAGAGTTGAGGGCACACAAGTATGTGGAAACTGTAAGTACAACCAGTTCCACTTCATGTGAGAACTGATAACGCTAAAATCATGTCCCGGCAAATAAAAACTGGAAGCAAAACTATGGAAGGAGTTTTCCCATATATTCCCATAGAAGGTGCACTGTATCCAGTAAAAGAAAAAAGCAATGTAATCCAGGGGTGCTGCTTAATTAAAATTCCGCAAGGACTCCAAAGAGGGGCCACAACAGATTACGTTTTCTTTTCCAGACGACCATGCACTTTGGCAGCAAAAACCAAAGAAAAATCACTGAAAATAAGAAACGGAGTTTGCAGCCATGGCTCACTTCTGACAAAGTCCACACACACACCTTGGTCAATTCAGTCTGTAGTACAGGGACTATTTTTTAATTCCCTGCTGACATAGCACTCTCACATTCCAACATCCATAAGTAATGCTTACTAACATCTGGGACCCATGCTTTCCATCCTATCCTGGCAGATGAAGATAGCTTCAGTAATTCACAGCTTTTATCACTTCTCATCTGGACTACAGCAATGGGATATATCAGAACACAAAACCCTTAGGCTGCGTCTAGACTGGCATGATTTTGCGCAAATACTTTTAACGGAAGAGTTTTTCCATTAAAAGTATTTGTGCAAGACAGCATCTACACTGGCAAGGATGCCTTTGCTCAAAAGACATCTTTTGCACAAAAGCATCCATGCCAGTGTAGATGCTCTCTTGCACAAGAAAGCTCCAATTGCTGTTTTAGCCATCGGGCTGTCTTGTGCAAGAAATTAACTAGTCTGTCTACACTGGCCCTCTTGTGCAAGAATACTTGTGCAAGAGGGCTTATCCCTGAGCAGGAGTGTCAGAGTATTTGAGCAAGAACCACTGATTTTGTATAGTACAAAGTCAGTGTTCTTGTGCAAATACTTGTGGCGAGTGTAGACAAGTGGCAAGATTTTGTGCAAAAGTAGTCACTTTTGTGCAAAATCTTGCCAGTCTAGATGCAGCCTTAGTACTTAGGAAACTATTACAAACAGTTGCAGCACATGTCAACAACAACACAGAATACCATCACACCTGTCATCTGCTCTCTCCACTGGCTTCTTACTGAATTTTAAATCAAGTTCAAGGTGTCAGTCCTCCTCTTCAAAGCAATGTATAGCTTGGACCCAGCATACTTAAAAGACCATGTAATGATTTGAGACAAAGACCACGGTGAACAAGCTCACTCCTGTGGCACAACTGAATTCCTTTCTGCGTGTGGTCCAGGACTGGAATGCGCTATTTCAGAAACCAAGGGCTAACAGCTCCGACGTCCCTGCTCTAGCAGGTGCACAGAGGCGGTGCCTTGCCGCACAGCCAGCTGCGAACGGCAGGAGCGTGAGACCATGTAATGATTTGAGACAAAGACCACGGTGAACAAGCTCACTCCTGTGGCACAACTGAATTCCTTTCTGCGTGTGGTCCAGGACTGGAATGCGCTATTTCAGAAACCAAGGGCTAACAGCTCCGACGTCCCTGCTCTAGCAGGTGCACAGAGGCGGTGCCTTGCCGCACAGCCAGCTGCGAACGGCAGGAGCGTGCTACAGAGACCGACCTAGAACACGCGGTGCCGGTGCGGACACGCCCCTCGAGTCCGCGCGCAGCGACGATGCTGCCGGCTCGAGCCCAGCCGGACAC